GGGGCTTGGGGCCTTCTTCCACAAGTCATCTCGGGATCTACCTCCGCTGTGCCGTTTACTGCTCGGTACTTGGCCGCCCTTGGAGTCAGCTGGGGTTTTTCTTACCCTTGTTTGTCTCTGGGTAGGCGGTAGTTTTCGTCAATGGTAGGGGTGCGGAGTACTGCACAGCTAGTTTTTACCTATGACAGCAGACGGCTCTGTTTCGCCTGGGTACGTTGTCTCTTGCGGGGTTTTTATTTTGTTTTTATTTTCTGCCTGGTGGGTGGGGGGAGGGGGTCTGCCTTTGTGGTCCCCTTTCGCTGTTCTTGGGGTATATATATTTATATATCTATATTTCTGTATTTGGTAGTCCTGCCCGCTTGGCCCCCATGAGTGGACACGTCCCAGGGGGTTCAGCTTTAGCAGTTTGTTTGGTAGACTTGGACACCGGTTCGCAGTACCCTGCCTGGCCTTCCCTTAGCTTGTAACCATGGCTAAGGGCCCTGGGAAACCCCACAGGGGCTACGTGGTCTGATGGATGTGACCCCTGATTGCCCCCTCGCATCTTGTGAGGTTAAAGGTTGCTCTGTCCCCTTGACTTAGGGTGACACTCACCTGTTTTATCTCCGCCATGCTGCCTGTTAGGTCGATGATTATTTTGACCCGGAATCGTGCAACGTGTGTTGTCTGTACGTGCTTCCGTTCACCCAAGCCACTGATAATGATGTGTGGGTGCAGGCAGCTGCGGTGTTGCATGCTAGGTTTAGGTTGCTGCAATGCTCTAGGTTGGTTGTGGCCCCGAATGTCCCCATGACTGCCTCGTTTTGGTTTAAGGGTCTGGACTTGGGGGGTGGGAGTCGCTTCGTCTCTGGTTCCATCCTCTCCTCCTCGTCCTTCCCCTTCTGTTGTGCATACTTCCTTTCCCTTGCTTCCGGCTCCGAACCACAGGCGAGTTTCGAGGTTGGGTGGGGTTTGGTTGGGTCGAGACTCGGGTGGTCTCGGAGGTTTTCCTCTTCCGTTTTTTCTCCCCCTCTATGCAACACTTGGCTGTGTACCTTGGTCGCTGCTTATTGGCTGTTCTGTTGTTAGGTACTGGGGTGGGCCTCTGTCCATGTTCAGTTCCCTGATTTTGGACTACCCCAGTGTTCAGTTTTGGTACTGAGTTCACTTTTTCCTTGTTTTCCCTTGTTGCAATGTCTGTGGGAGGTTATGGACTTCCGGTCAGCCATTCCTGCCCTCCTGGTTCCTTTTCTTGGGACAGGGGTAGCTTGGATTCCGGTCCTGGCTCTGGCTTTTCTTTGTTCTTTTCCTTTTTGTTTTCTTGCGGTACACGTCCTGAGTAGTCCTCCTCTTGTATACCTCTGTGGCACGTGCCTCGTTCTTCCCTGCTGGAGCTTGTTGTGCTACTCCTTAGGGTTGCGGGGGTCGCTGTTTTTCATTTCGCGTTTTAGTTCGTGGTGCTCAGTTTCCTCGTTGGCCTCTGCCTAGGTCCTGGCTCTTCGGTGTTTGGCCTTGTTGGTCCTTCCAGGATCGTGGGGGGGGGGGATAGTTCCTCCCAGATGGGGCATTTCTGCTCGTCCGGGTTGATTCCTTTTCGGCTCTCCGGGATTGGGTTCCTGGTTCCCTAGCGGCTGTTCCTTCTGGTTTTTGCCAGCCTTGTTTGGGAGCTCTGCTTTCCTTGGTTCCAGTCCTGAGGGGCTTCCAGCGGCTCCGGTCGCCTCTTTTTGCGGATTGATCCAGCCCTGTACAGGGCTGGTTCGTTCCTCCCCTCGAGTCTTCGCGTCTGAAGTTTTTGTCTCGTGTCCTCGTCGCTTGTGGAGGCGCTGGTGGCATTGTTGTTGGTCTCCCACCTGTGTACTTTGTCTCGGCGGCAGTATGTGGTTTCCTGGCGGTCCTTCTGGTTTTCCTGTCACTGCAAAGGGTTCTTCGGTCTCTGATAGGGTTGTCTTATCTTTCCCTTCGGGGTTGTTCCGGGACTGTCTTCTGGTGCGTGTTCTGTTGCCTCGTCTTGGATGGCACTGGCAGGGCCTCTCCAGCTTGCGTTCGATGTTGCTGTTCCTTCTGCTCAGTTCCGGTTTCTGTCTTGGGCGTTGTTCGCCTCTGGCCTGATTTTGCGCTTCCCATGCTGTCTTGGTCGATGGCCCGGGTGGTCTTTTTTCTTTTTCTTCTCCTCGGTTGTCATGATCCCTTCGGTTCTGATGCAGTTTCCTTCTTCTTGAGTGATGTTTGGGTCTGTTGCTTCCTGAGGGGTCCTTGGGTTGCTGCTTGGTTGATCAGGCCAGGGGCGCTTTCTTTTGTTGTTTGGTTGCAGCTCTTCGCTGTTCTCTGCGCGTCCTGGCCTCTGGGGCTGTGGATGCATTTTGGTTTGCCCGGATTCCCCTACTTCCCTCCTCCCTGTTCTGGGGTTCGGGTCTCCCGGGTCATTGGCAAGGTCCTTCCTTTTAGTCTGTAGTCTTGTTTTATGTTAGGGCACATGGCGTCCACCTCCCGGATCCTTCCCTCTTTTCCTTATCTGTGATGAGGTGGCTCCGGGAAGGCGACAGGGCTCCCCCCAGAAAACCAGCGTTGAATGTAATGAAATGCCATTTTCTGGGTGAGTCCCGGAGGCTCCCCGGTATCCATCCCTCCCTCCCCCCCATCTGGTCGGCGGTGTTTTTCTATCTTTTTGACATCCAGCCTAAGAATTGAGGGTTGGGTCGCCAGCGGGTGGGTCTGGGACTCCCCCTTTTCCCTCCAAAGGACGGGAGGGGAGGGGTTGCGCAGACAGCAGTGCAGCGACATGATGACGTCATGCTAGTTTGCTAATTTTTGTTTGGGAAGTTCTGTCCACTTGTTCATCCTTTGGTCGCAATAGTTTTTCCAAAATAAGTGTTTGTTTTAGGGCGCCTACCTTGCTGGGTGCCTGTCCCGGTCGATGGCAGACATAGACTGCTCCCAACCACAGGGGGGGGGGGGTCTCTATAGGCCATTGCTCCTCGTGCCTCTCTGAGGGGGTCAGGTTCTGGCTCGTGGTCCCTGGTAGGCAAGAACGCCATGCATTGACTGATGCCAGAAAGATATACATATCCATTCAGCCTGGATAGCTCCGGGGAGCCTCCGGGACTCACCCAGAAAGTGGCCTTTCATTACATTCAACACTGGTTTTTTCCATATATCTGCCAGGACACAATATATTCCATATATCCTGTACACAAAGATGACTGAAAAATCAATTGAAGTGGAATGAAAAGTCAATTGAAGTGGAATGAAAAATCAATTGAAGTGGAATGAAAAATCAATTGAAGTGGAATGAAAAATCAATTGAAGTGGAATGAAAAATCAATTGAAATGGAATGAAAAATCAATTGAAGTGGAATGCTCAGCTTAGGTGTGTTTTCTCTTGGAACTCAGAACCCATGTGAACTTGGGTTCTCTCGGAACCCAAGCTCATGCTAGTTTTGGGAGATTTGATTGTTTGTTTACATTGTCAGTTTTGAGGCTTTGGTCTCTTTGGACCCAGCAGTGGTCTGTATTGGTTTGCTAACTTTCTGGATACTTTCCCGGTGGGGTGGTGGTGTGTCACTCGCTCTCTGCACCTCTGAAGGGGGCCAGATCTCCAGGCTTTGGTTCCCTGATAGACCAAAAACAACTCTGTGGCTGGTGTGACCTATTACTTGGGTGCCATCTCGACGAAATCAGTTCAGGAAGCCACCGATGCTCATCCAGAAAGAGGCATTTCGTTACATTCAACACCAAGTTTCTTAATTTTAAGCCATAGGACTAGTTTGCCAATACAGTGGAACCTCAGTGTACGAATTTAATCCACTCCAAGAAATGCAACGTAACCCAAATCAATGCACACCAAATTAAATTTGCCCATAAAAAATAATGTAAACTGAATTAATCCGTTCCACACACCCAAAAACATTAACTTGAAAATACATTTACATTCATAATACTACTCACATTTTTCATGCACTTTACCTTTATTAAGGACTCTTGTTGTTGTATGGAAGATGGAGAGGAGTGAGGGGAAGTGTTAAGGTTTGGAAAAAGAGTCCCACTATCCATAATAATAACATCAGGCAGTGATAACATTTTTGGGGTACTCCCTCTCTGAGAGAGTCCGGCTCCAAGGGGCCAGCCGGCCGAGCGGACAGCACGCTGGACATGTGATCCTGTGGTCCCAGGTTCGATCCCAGGCACTGGCGAGAAAAGATGGGCAGAATTTCTTTCACCCTATGGCCCTGTTACCTAGCAGTAAATAGGTACCTGGGAGTTAGTCAGCTGTCACGGGCTGGTTCCTGGGGGTGGAGGCCTAGTCAAGGACCGGGCCGTGGGAACACTAAAGCCCCAAAATCAACTCAAGATAATCTCAAAATAACCTCTCTCCTATGTTTTATAGGCATACCACTTGGATCTGGTTGTCTTGCTAAGAAACTATCTAAAGACACTTGTTTTTGCCTACATTTTACCACTTGTCTATTAGAGAGACATTGTCATTAAAAATGCTAATACAACAGCTTGCTGCAGCTCTTTCTGGGCAAGTCTTTTCAGTAAAACTTTGCAGTTCTTCCCATATTGCACACATTTTCCTATCCAAATCAACCACGTGCATACCATCTTCATTTTTATGATTTTTTTCTATTGTCATCCTCACAAGTATTTTCTTAGGTTGAACTTTACTAGTGACGTTCTCGGGACCCATGAAGTGATATATAATAACGTTTTATGTTAAGCAGCAAAAAAATGTAAACTGATCTTACCAACTCCGACAAGTATGAATGAGCGGTTCACACTCAGGGGTAAACGTCGTACACCAGGGCATATTTTCTGACAAAATTTTCATCGTACACCAGAAAATTCGAACTCGGGTGCAATCGTACACTGAGGTTCTATTGTAGTAGTACCTGTACTTTAAAATGGTGCTCTTTGCCAGCAAAAAAAGCTTCTTTTTTTGTAAATATTTTAGTCCTTCAATAATTTTAAAGTTTAACAGTTATTGTCTATTAATATATTAATAAATACAATTTTACTTCTAGGATTTTCATCGTAATATTAGTTGTGTTTTCCATCTTGTGGATTCCCATCATTGAGCAGACTCAAGGCGGGCAGCTATACATCTACATTCAATCAATTGCTGCTTACCTGGCCCCACCAATTGCTGCTATTTACTGTTTGGCTATTGCATGGAAAAGAATGAATGAGTTGGTAAGTATCACAGTCACAATTTTTTTTTTAACTTATTTATTCAAACATTAACCACGGTGCTGCACGGCCTTAAAATATGACATTTCCGCTGTGCGCCGAAAATAAATTCTCAGCAGAACATTATTTTCTCTTATTATAGTGTTAAAATGCAGTCTCTGATCATGGGAAACTAAACAAAGAAAATTGTATGTGATATACTTAGCCTTGATGGAACTGAGAAGTTGAGCAAATTATGGGTGCTGAGCGATGGAGCGCTCAGGGGGTCACTCGAACCCCCGAGGGCTCTTGAATAATATTTTAATAATATTCAAACTTTTGAATACTATTCAAAAGTATGTAATTTGTGAAATTTGTATAGTTCAATGTGTGCAATATCGCTATGCTCATAATTATGGGGCTCATATATGTGACATGTTTAATATATTCTACGATCAATCAAACAGTGTTTTGCTGTTATTACACTATATTCACACATTATATATAAGTATGTACATGTTTTGTTCACCATAACTGTACAACTAAGCTGGTGTGGTGTCCAAACAGCATAGTGGTCACCCTACACAGCATGAGAAGTCATATCAGCCAGCAGACGATGCCACCTCCCTCACCAAAATGGTTCCACCCACCATACATTTTTTGCTGTTATTAACTATAACTATATTAACTAATATTAACTATATATATATATATATATATATATATATATATATATATATATATATATATATATATATATATATATATATATATATATATATATATATATATATATATACAGTGGTACCTTGCATAACGATCGCCCCACAAGGCGAATATTTTGGGTAACGACTGGCCCGATCGGCGAGAAATCGTCCCATATGACGAACGCTCGTTTGTGTAACGTCAACACCACATGGTGGGGTCACGCCGCCACTGTCTACAGTGTTGTATTGGTGTCTCACACGACCAGCATCCGTCTGTATCGCTCCACACACAATTCTGATATTCGTGTTTTGTTTTTTTTGTGGTTTTGTGACTACAATTCTGAACGCACGATGTCGTCCAAGAAGCAGCCTGCGAAAGCAGGAGTTTGCAAGGGGAAGAAAGAGGCAATCACTGTGGAAGTGAAGAAAGAGATCATAGCAAAGCACGAGCGTGGTATTCGTGTGGTTGATCTTGCCAGGGAGTATGGCAGGGCTCCCTCAACAATATCCACCATACTGAAGGGCAAGGATAAATATAAGATGCTTGACATGGCCAAAGGAGTTAGCAAGCTCACCAGCAAACGTCCAAAACTCCTGGAAGATGTGGAACGGCTACTGCTGGTGTGGATGAATGAACGACAATTGCATGGCGATTGTGTCTCTGAAGCTATCGTTTGCGCTAAGGCTAGGATGCTGTATGTGGACCTTGTCAGGAAGATACCAGGTGCGTCGTCTGAAGATGAGGAGGTATTTAGGGCAAGCCGTGGCTGGTTTGAGAACTTTAAGAAAAGGAGTGGTATACACAGTGTTGTGCGACATGGGGAGGCTGCCAGCTCTGATAAAGGTGCTGCTGAGGCTTTTGTGCCAGAGTTCCAGAAATTTGTTGATCAGGAGCAGTTTCTGCCACAACAAGTTTTCAATTGTGACGAGACCGGCCTTTTTTGAAAAAAACTGACGAAGAGGACCTACATCACGCAAGAGGAACAATCATTGCCTGGCCACAAACCGATGAAGGATCGCCTTACTCTCGTGCTCTGCGCCAATGCAAGTGGCGATTGCAAGGTCAAGCCGCTGCTCGTCTATCACTCAGAAAATCCACGAGTGTTCAAGGCGTTTAAGGGTCACAAGACACGGCTGAATGTGATGTGGAGGTCGAACAAGAGGTCCTGGGTCACGCAGATCTTCTTTAGTGAGTGGGTAAATGACGTTTTCGGCCCCACAGTGAGAAATTATCTCGTCGACAAGCAGTTACCACTCAAGGCCTTGCTTGTGCTCGATAATGCACCTGCGCATCCTTGCCAACTGCAAGATGATCTGTTCCCTGAAAATCAGTTTATCACCATCAAGTTTCTTCCTCCAAACACCACGCCACTCCTCCAACCCATGGATCAGCAGGTCATTGCTAACTTTAAGAAGCTCTATATGAAGGCCTTGTTGGAGAGATGTGTTCATGTGATTGACACCACAGAGCTGACCCTCAGACAATTCTGGAAGGAGCAGTTCAATATCATGGGGGCCTTGCGTTTGATAGATAAGGCCTGGGAAGGGGTGTCACAGAGAACCCTACACTCTGCATGGCGAAACTTGTGGCCTGAGGGTGTCCCTGAGCGAGACTTCGAAGGTTTCGGTCCTGCACCTGCATCTGCATCCGCACCTGTGGATGACCCGGAGGCTCTTTTAGTGGATGATATTGTCGCTCTGGGACACACACTGGGTCTGGAGGTGGATGCCGCTGATGTGCAGGAGTTGGTGGAGGAGCACAGTGATGAACTGACCACCGAGGAACTCCTGGAACTGCAGAAAGAGCTGGTGCAACAGGAGGTACAGGAGCTCTCATCGGGGGAGGAGGAGGTCTGCGAGGATGCTTTTCCATCTAGTGAGATCAGGGACGTGCTGGGCATGTTCGAAAAGGTGACAGCATTTGCGGAAAAGCATCACCCTGATAAGGCGGTGACAACACGGTGCGTGAACCTGTTTAATGACAATGTGCTGTCTCGATTTAGGGACATCCTCAAACGAAGACAACAGCAAGTGACACGCGATATGGTCAGTGGACAGGGTGGGAAGAGACGTGCTAGTGATATTGAACCACAACCCGGTCCTAGTGGGGTTAAATTCCCAAAGAGAGCGAGCCCGCCTGACCCAGAGGTGGTGTCTCCCTCCTCCCTCCCTCCCGATCGGCTCCCTCAAGCCAGCAACGACTCTTCATAAGGTAAAGTGAATATACACATGGAAACAGTCAAACAAACATTTATTTAACTTGTACAGTATAATATTACCAGTGTATAATGTCATATTGTTGTTTTAGGGGGTGGAACGGATTATTTGTATTTACATTGTTTTGGGTGGGGAAAATTGTTTTGCATGACGCCGGTTTCACATGACGACAGCGGCGTTGGAACGGATTAAATTCGTTATGCGAGGTACCACTGTATATATATATATATATATATATATATATATATATATATATATATATATATATATATATATATATATATATATATATATATATATACTCATGTTATATATAAGTATCTACATGTTTTATTTACCATAACGGTACAACTAAGCTGGTATGGTGTCCAAACAAAATAATGGCCACAAAATGACAAGTGACACAGCGGCTAGCAAACTGCCTCACTCCCTCCCTCATCAAAATGGCTCCTCCCAGCATACTGTTTGTGCTCTTATTACACTATATACACACATTATATATATATAATTATCTACATTTGTGTTCACCATAGTGAACCACTAAGCTGGTATGGTAAGTCAAGACAATGATTGAGGTCGCCACACAGTCAGCTGACTCTCCCACCCTCCCTCACCAACATTACTCCTCCCACCATATTACGAGCATCACTAATTATCACCACAATCCTGCTATTATCAGAATCCTGGTCATTTTTTATCAGTCGGGCGTCTTCTGTAACACTATCATTGCTAAATAATCGCAGTTACATATATATATTTTGACATTTTAGGCGATGTTGTGGTCACAAGCTGAACAGCAGATCTGTTAGCTCATGCTGCGTGCACCAGCCTTGGTTGCTCACTCAGTACTGAAGCTCTCACACCCATGAATGTTACCCATGATTTTTTCAAGAAGGCATCTGTTTACAAGAGTCCTGAGAACAGGATGTGAGCCCCATGTACCCGCGAGAGTTTTGAATCCTGTGCTATACCTTATTGGTCAAATGGTGAAAGACCCTTCATAGGGTATGGCTTGCTGAATTTTGTCTGTGATACCAGACTGGCCGCTCTCTGCCTCAGTCAGCCCTGTTGCCACTGAGCCCCCAACCACAGTGGCCTGTTGTAGAGTGCATTTTGGGTGGTGGTCAGCATGAACCTTCTATAGTGCACCTCTCCACACAAGAGAGATTTATGTTGACAGCAGCACCACCTGACTGTCTCCAAAACATCTAATTTGGAGATCCATTACTATTTGTTGCTGTTTGTTGTGTGGCTGCTGTCCTTTTTTTTTCTGGGCCCATACTCTAATTCCATTCTTCCCCAATAATAAACCCAGCCCACCTTTTCTGTTTGCCATATATGCCAGCCTCTATTGGGGGGTGCTATTTTGAATAAGCTTGGGAAGCTCTTAAGGGGTCCTATTGAGGTTATCTTGAGATGATTTCGGGGCTTAGCGTCCTCGCGGCCCGATCCTCGACCAGGCCTCCTTTTTTTTTACACATATCCAGGAAGCAGCTCATAGCAGCTATTTAACTCCCAGGTACCTATTTACTGCTAGGTGAACAAGGGGGCATCAGGGTGAAAGAAACTGCCCATTTGCTTCCACCTCCACATGGGATTGAACCTGGAACCTCAGGACTACGAATCCTGAGCGCTGTCCACTCAGCCGCCAGGCCCCTCCTGTTCTTGATGGTGGGTGTTCACATCCTACCCTGAAATAAAACATTAAATATAATGAAATGCCCTTTGTTGCACCTATGTATTCCGGCTGGTTTTTGTCCTTGTTGAGGGTGACATCCCGATCCTGAAGAGTCCTTCATTTTGTAGAGCGAGTCATGTACAGGGCCTAGCTTCCTGTCGGTAACACATGGGTCTCGGAAGCCTGGGGCCAGATTCATGAAGCAGTTACGCAAGCACTTATGAACCTGTACATCTTTTCTCAATCTTTGGAGGCATTGTTTACAATTATTAAGCAATTAATGAGTTCCAAAGCATCAGAAGGCTGTTTATAAGAATAACAACAGCTAATTGGGATGTTTTCTTGCTTGTAAAATGTTTAATAAATGTAAACAAAGCCGTCAACGATTGAGGAAAGATGTACACGTTCATAAGCACTTGCGTAACTGCTTCGTGAATCTGGCTCCTGAAGTTTAGCTAAGGCTTGGTGGAAGCAGAGCTAACCTCGGGAAGCAATAGTGGCCCACCAGAAATAAGCATTTCGTTACATTCAGTAAAATATTTCTTATTTCCACAGGGTGCATTCTGGGGCTTAATGATTGGCTTTGTGATTGGCATGGCACGTATGGCTTTAGATTTCTACTATGGGGAGCCTGTTTGTCATGAAGAAGATTATAGACCTGTAATTATTCAAAAGGTGAGTGATAGGTACTGAAGATTATATATATATTTTTAAATTCTTTATAATATTGAAGAAGATTATTAATAAAAATCCTATCCATATTAAAAAGCCTGTGTCCACTGAGAGAATATTAAAAATCAAATGAAATCCAAAGAAAATGTATACAATATACAAAATAAACAACTTCTCATTTAATTTCTCTGGCTGGGCCTGCAATATGGAATAAAAAACCAGCGTTGAATGTAATGAAACGCCATTTTCTGGGTGAGTCCCGGAGGCTCCCCGGAGCTATCCCAGGCTGATATGCTAATGTCAGACTTTGGCATCAGTCATGTGTATGGAGTTCTTAGGCCTACCGGGGACCACGGCCAGAACCGGGCCCCCTCAGAGAGGCAAGGGGAGCAATGGCCTATAGAAGCCCCCGTGTAGTTGGAAGCATTCTATGTCTGCCATCGACCGGAACAGACACCCAGAAAGGTAAGCGCCCCAAAACAAACCCCTATTCTGGTTAAAATTGCTACCTAATACCGAACTAGTGGATAGAACTCCCCAACCGAAAACAAGCAAATTAGTGTGACGTCACACACTGCCGCGCCGCTGTCTGCGCAGCTCCCCCCTCCTCGGGAGGGGGAAGGGGGAGCCCCAGACCCCCCGCGCCGGCTACCCACACCTCAGTTCTTGAGGCTGGATGTCAAAAACGCGAAAAACCGCCGACCGGAGGGAGGGAGGGATGCCGGGGAGCCTCCGGGACTCACCCAGAAAATGGCGTTTCATTACATTCAACGCTGGTTTTCTGGGGGGAGCCCCGTCGGCTCCCCGGAGCTAACTACCCACAGACAGAAAAAGAGGGACTTACCCGGGAGGCGGTCGTCGCTCACCCCTCAACTCGAAGCCGAGACAACTGGCTGCAACCGCCGACCCAAAGCAACACAGGCCCGACGAGGCCCAGGGACATTCACAAGGTAACGAGCAGCCAGGACCCTGTTCGACCTGAGAGACCCGAACCCGCGAACAGGGAAGAAGGGAAACCGGATCAACCCACAGCGCGTCCCCGGACACAGAAGCTGTGGCGCGCAAATAACGGCGAAGCGCCGCAACCGGACACAAAACATGATGCACCCCCGGCCTGACCAACCAAGCATCAACCACCCATGGACCCCTCCGGAACGCAGCAGTCTCATTCTTCGCCAGAAAAGAAGGAGACGGCTGCAAACGAACAAAACTATCACCACGACCAAAAGAGCAGAAACCCCTGCGCCGGAGGAGAGCATGAAGCTCCCCTACCCGACCCCCAGAGGCCAAAGCCAACAAGAAAAGTGCCTTGGAAAAACAATCCTGGACCGAAGGGGCCACAACGAAACGAGGAGATGAAAGGAAAGCGAGCACTCTGTCCAAAGACCAGGACGGCTCAGGCGACGCATGAGCAGGCCGGAGGTGAAACAATGCACGAGACAGCTTGCGAAACGGCGCAGACGTAACATCGATACCGAAAGCAAGCTGAAGCGGCTCCGCCAGCGCCGCACGATACGAAGCGACAGTGTTAGGCATAAGATGACGGTCCTGAAACAACCACGAGAGGAAGGACAAGACCACCCGAACAGACAAGGAGCTAACACGACGAAGACGCAAAAAGAAACGGAAGGACCGCCAGGAAACTTCATACTGCCGCCGAGAAGAAGCCCTCAGGTGGGACACCAACAAGGAGGCCACCTGATCACCATAGAGATGAGAGACTCGAGTCAAAAAAACCATACGCGAAGACTCGAGGAGAAGATCGAACCAGCTACGTGACGTACCGGCCCGATCTGCTGAAAGAGGCGGAGCCGCGGGAAAACCCTCGGGTTCGGACACCGAGCAACCAGCGCCTGAAACCAAGGCTGGGCCGGCCACCAAGGGGCCAGAAGGACAACTCTCCCCCGGTAAGTCTCTAAGCGAGTCAGGACCTGGAGCAACAGCCGAACCGGGGGAAAGAGGTACAGGAACCCCCACCTCGACCAGTCGAGCCGAAAGGCATCGACCCCGACGGCCTCGCAATCGGGGAAGGGCGCCGCATAAACGGGAAGACGCCGCGACCACGCCGACGCGAAGAGGTCCACCTCGGGGCGCCCGAACGTCTGGCAAAGCCAACGGAAGGACTCGTCGTCGACCGTCCACTCCGTGGAGAGGGGAACGAAGCGAGACAGGGCATCGGCCAAGACGTTGGACACGCCCCGTACGTGAACCGCCAGGAGAGCCAAACCCCGAGAACTCAGCAGACGAGTCACCCGAAGCGACCAACCCCAAAGAGACAAGGACCGCATCGAACCCCCGCGGTTCAGGCAATGAACCACCGGAGAGCAGTACGAATGGAGCCGAATCGTCGATCCGCGGGCCACCCGAATCCTCCCCAGAGCAAACCACACTGCCGCGAACTCCCGCACCGTACTGTGAGCTCGACGGAAGGACGGATCCCAACGCCCCTGGCCGGCCTGGTGAGCACTGGTCACAAAACCCCAGCCGAGAGACGACGCATCCGTGTACACATCGAGCGAGGGCTTGGGTAGGCGCCAAGGCACTGAACCCCGAAAAACCCGAAGAGGAAGCCGGTGACGCAGCAACCAACGCAAGTCCCCCGGGGGTCGAACTCTGCGATCGCGAGAGAGGCGGAAGGGGGAACCCCGAAGGAACCAGAACAGCCGTCGAAGCCAAACCCGACCCGGCGGGTAGACCACCATCGCGAAGTTCAGGCTCCCGCACAGCCCCTCGAGCAACCGCCGGGTGACCCGAGGGCCCTCCAGAAACAGACGAAGGCGGGACCGCAGCCGCAGGAGAGACTCCGGAGGGAGAGACAAGGAGGCGGTCCGAGAGTCCCACACGAGACCCAGCCAAGTCCGAACCTGAGAGGGAACCAGATGGGACTTCCTCCAGTTCACCAAGAACCCGAACCCGGCGAGCTGGGAAAGAACCAAATCCCTGGCTAGCAAGCAAGCTGACTGGCTGGGAGCCCAAACCAGCCAGTCGTCGAGGTAGGCCAACACCCGAACACCTAGGAGACGCAAACGAGCCACTACAACCCGTGAAAGGCGTGTGAACACGCGAGGTGCCAGGTTCAACCCGAACGGGAGACAACGAAAGCGGTAACTCAGACGCCCCACTACAAAACCGAGCCAGTCCCTGAACCGCGGATGAAACGGGACATGCCAATAAGCGTCCCGGAGGTCCAGGGACACCATCCAAGCACCCGGCTCCAAGAGGAGCCGAACCTGAGACAGCGTAGTCATCCGAAAGGAGGGGCAATGAACCCAGGGGTTCAGACGGGACAAGTCCAGAATGAACCGCAGGTCCGCGCAGTCCCGTTTCGGAACCAGAAACAGACGGGAAACCCATCTGAGGGACGACGTCGTTTCGACGACGCCCAAGCGTACCCACTCCAAGACGACTCGACAGAGCGCAGGGGAAGAAGCCCGCCCCGCCAGCCCCGACCCCCCAAAGGGGGGAGGGGCCACCCAACGCCACCGCAGGCCGCGAGACACGACCCGAAAGGCCCACAAATCGTGGGACCAGGCGCGGGCGAACAGCGCAAGCCGCCCCCCCCATCGCCCCGTCAAAGGGGCAAACCGCGAAAGGGCCGGCGACCCTTACGAGACCCAGAACCCCGCACAGCGCGAACACCGCGCCGACCAGACGAGGGAGGGTCCGCAGGAGGAGCCAACCCCAAACCTGACACCAGAGGCCTACCACGACGAGAGGAACCCCGAGCCCTGGCATGACCTTTCCGGGAAGACCCACCCCGGGACCCCCGGAAAACCAACAAGTCCGACATCGGACGACAAGCCGCCGACGCAGCCTGAATAAACTGCGCCACAGCCGACTCCCCAAACAGGAGAGGACAAAAAGGTGAAGAACGCCTCAGAGCCAGAGCCCAAGCAGATTCCACGGAGGAACCCAGCACCGCCTGCCGACACGCGAGACGGGAAGCATAGAACAGGGAAACCGCATCCCGCAAAATCGGCGTGAACAGCTTCAACAAGGCAGCCGACGAACGCGCAGCCAAGGACAAGGTGCCGGACCCCGGGACGGACCCAAGCGTCCCCACATCCTCCACGAGCCAATCCGAAGACAGCTCCAGGAGGGAAAAGAACCGCAAGGCCGAACACAAAAGGCCCCGAGCGCGCAAGTCCTCCGCCACGAGCGCCGCCGAAAGGGAGGGAACCTGCACATGGAGCTGAATAACGCCCACATCGCGGGGAAGGGCAGGGGCAAACAAGCACTCATTCAGGTACTCAAGTTCACCCCCCAGGAAAACCTGAAGCACCGCGGAAGCTTCCCGCCACTCCAGCGTGCGGGAACGACAGAAGGAATGCCAGGAATCCAGACCAAACAAGGGGCAGTCTGCTAGCCAGGACGACTCCGGAACCTCGTAACGGAGCCAGAAAGGGAACGAAGTCCCAAACCTGAACGTGGACGGAACCATTTCCGAGGCATAATCCGGGTCACGCAGGAGGTAAGCTGCAAAGGCCGCTCGCACCACACCAGGTTGGATGCGATAAGCCGAAAACCTCCGGAAGGACGGAACCGACGTACCCGGGGGAACACGGAACCATACCCGGGGAGGGGCCGACACCAAATCCAACTCGTACGCAGAGGGGGGGAAAGAAAACCCCACTCCTTGTAACAATAAGCCCCGCTCAGTGGGAAGAAAAACCCAGGCGGGGTCAAGCGGGGCCCAAGGCCCCCAAGTCAGCCCCTCCCCAGCCGCGAGGTCCGTCACCACAGGACCCGAGGCCGAGTCCTCTCCCCAAGCCCCGACCCCACAAGACAAGGACGGAGCAGCCGGAAAAGCTGGAGGAAGGGGGGCCCACTGGTCAGACCCTGAAGCTTCGGCCGGGAGACAAGACTCGAATGCCTCTGCCGCCCCCCCGGAAGGGGCAACCCCCGAAGCTGCCCGAGTCTCGAGATCAAGTAACCCCTGCTCCGACCCCGAAACCCTCAGACGCTTCGGGGCCGGAAGCAGGGGCGGGGGACCAGAACGAACA